AACAAAAAATGAAGTGGTGAAAATAGGCCATTATCTGAATAATTCAAGTAAAACAATTTACATTTCCTTCAATTACCTGAATGTTGTATTCAAGCAGTGTTTGTTTTGTGTGAGTGCATATGTGTGTACAGAAGTGTGTATGTTTGTGTGCACACAAGTGCATGTGTGTGTCTATGCACATTTGCATGTTTTGTCTTCCTAATTTTCTAGCTCATGTTTCTATATTATACAATCTGAATAGCTCAAAACATTGAAAACTTGTTAGTGACTGTTCAACTAATTTTTTAGCATTGATTTAAACTAGTCTAAAATTTAGTTTTTATGTGGGCAGAGTAATCAGAGGCTTCTGATATTTTATTGACAACATTAGAAACAAAATCATCATTTAGCTAAAGGACATTTTGAAAAACAAATTGTAGGGAACATTCTCTCTTTTGACTTTATTAAAACTAGACCAGGCTTATAGCCTGGAATTGCTAACTTGTAATCAGAAGAAATTTTAAAAGTAGGAATGGAAATGCTGTAGTCTCTAGTCTTCAAAACTATCAGACATTAGAAAAAGCAAATATTTTATTCTCCTGGAGATTTGAATGACTGAGTTGTCATCCTGTTTTCTCAACATATAATGCTTTCCCCTTATAATGATAAAAATTTATTTTTAAAGTAAAAGGTAAGTCAATAAGGAATACAAGAAGAGATTTGTCATTTAGCCTGAACTGTTCTTTTTTCTGGTTCTTTGAATATGACTATACAATGTGGAGGTACTTCTAAACCATGTGAACCTGAATGTTTCCTACAGGCAATTATGAGAGAAAGAAACATGTACAAATTGCACACTTCCTCAATTTGGGGCAATTTGAAGGGGACTCAACAGAAAGTTGTGAATTTCACATTTACAGTGTATTTACAATATTTCCCCATCTTATTTCCAGACCCTTTTCTGATTATTTTAAAAATAATAGTGTTCTGAAGGCCAATACTGATCATAAACGTTTTAATGTGTATTTATATTTGACTATTTTTCTCCAAATCATTCACTAACTTTTGATTTTTACAGAAATTGAGGATGAAACTTCATATGTATATAGTTTATAAACTTAGAAAAAGCAGACAGCTGTAAGATCGTGGAGATTTCAAAGTGCTTTGTGTCTCGAGAATACTGATCTAATATAGTGATAAGTATAATGGTTGGAAACCAGTTATAGTTCTTCAAGTTTGCAAAGTAAATCACAGAAAGTTCTCAATTATTGGCAGCTGAATAAAAATGATCAAGGAAGAAGAGGTTTTGTTTGTCTTATTTTCTAGCCCTTTAGATAAAGAGTGCCCCGTTGCCTCCTAGTCGTAGCAAGTATTATTTAATGCAAAATAGGGTTGTCTATTACCCACCTTTGTTTGCAGAGTATGGTATTTTGCAGAGCAGCAAAAAATATGTTTAGACACCTCTAAGGCAGCAAGCTATGACCAGGTAAAAAGACTTGGTGTGAAGGTTCTATGTGGACACTCACATCTCATCATAAGCACTATGTCACTGACTTTTAGATTGGCCTCAATTTCCCTTATGTTGCCTAAAATCATTTGCCATGGAGGACAAGTATTTTTTCACTGGAATCCATAAAAACTGTGTTCTTAACTGATTTGATATACAATTAAGGATAAAACTGCTTGGTACATAAAAAAAAGAAAATTCTGTCTGCATCCATTCATAAACAATAAAAAACCTCACATGAAACATATGTGATTACAGGAAATAGAAAATCTATAAGATGTGTATGGTATAAGCTTTATGTGTTATTGTAAGGCATATGTTGGGTAAATTGGGGGCAGTATTGGCTGGGTCCAGAGTAAGTTATAGTGACATTGTCCTTCACTGTCCAGTACCTGAGAATCTCTCTCGTCTGGTCAATGGTGTTGAGACTTTGTACAAACTGAACTTTCTAGGCTCTAAAGAAACATTTTTCTCTAATCCCTGTAATGTGAAATGCCTTCTCTTTGCCTCTTAGTCTGGATGCAGCTTAAAGGAGAGACAGTCACAGTTGTAAGTATGATCCACAGTGGTAAGAAATTAGAAATCCTTTTCAAAATACAGAACTCTCACTTCTCCAATTTACAGTATTTCTGAAAGTGAGGAACGCAGTAGCACCTTTAGAATACCAGTCACTCACACAATGTCTCCACCAGCTGCTGCAAAACCACAAAAATATTTCTCAAGTGCACAGCAAGCTGGGCAGAGCTGAAGGATGCTGGGTCTGTGCAGAACAGTCTTATATCCATGTACCTCACACATATTCTACTAACCAAGCATACTGGTGAAGGAGTCCTTCAACTTAAGAGTGATGCGCTTCCCTCATATTCTCCCTGTGCCTATCTTCTTCCTTCCTCCAAAATGTAAACTTATACATACTTTCTCAAGCAAGCCCCTGATCTCTATATATGAATAAGGTACATGCTACTCTTCTATTTTGTGGACTGAAGGCTCATCTCAGGAGTTGAGATTGATTAAGAGAATTTGAACAGGCAAGCCTGCAGAGAAACTGACGGTGTGTTTTGAGGGTATGTTTGAGTTCTTTTTAGTCAGAACTCATACTGGGTAGATTGGTGTATGTGCAGGAATGTATTTTGCATGTTGTGAGCGAACATCTATTACACTCTCTTGAGATGAAAGTTTTCCTTCATGGAAAATGAATGATGAACTAGTATGCTTAGATCAGTAGGATGGCTGAGTTCAGGGAGAAGAGAATGGTTGGATTCAGGAAGCAGGTTATTGGTATGTACACCTATACATATAATTTCATAAGAATTGCCAATGACACCCAAATATTGAGTGGCTTTGAAACCAGAAGCATCAATAAATTTTTTCAGGTAAAATTGGACCAAACTTAAGTTATAAAAGTGTTCTCAGGTTATTTTCCTTCCAAGAAGAATTTCACTAGAAAATTCATTTCCCTCCAGAATTTTTAAAAAGACATAACAGGTTGAAATTCTTCATATTTAGAGATTATAAATTCATGAAGTCGAAAATTATGTTTGAAGAAGACCAACCTCGGGCCACCTTCCATGTGTACTCAGTGTTTGGTGGGACATGGTGGGATTTCTTTGGTCAGGGAGCCTCCAGACTACCACTGCCAGGTTTGGGAGAGTGTTTATGCATAAGAGACAGAACAAGGATGCTAGTAGGTGAAATTCTCTGATAGAGTATAAATTTCATGTAAGTCAATAGGTTCAACCTATTTCTCTACAAATATTTATCATTATTTTATGTCTTAAACTGAATTTGTTAAATAGAATCCAATTGGTTTGTGGCCCATGTAGCAACTATCAAGTCAAAAGGCAGGGAGTTGACAGGAAGGAAAATAATGGGCTTGGATGTCTCACAATATATAGACTCAGAATATCGTATTCCAATATTTGCATTCACTTGATATGAATCATGTCCATAAAAATAAAGATTCATCTAATTTTACTTTGTTTAGCCTCTTCCACTCCCATCCCCTTGTGTTGGTCTGCATCCAGTAAATTGTATGAAATCAGTACTTTGATATATTCTCCCTATATATTATTTTACTTTTTTTCTGAGTAGTAATCCTATTTACAGTAGATAATTAAAATAAAATTATATGATTTCCAATAAAATTAATTCCGTTTTCTGGGTGAGAAAAATGAGAATCACAGAGATACTGGTACCAAAATTTTAGTACCAAAATTTTAATAATGCCAAAACAGTATTAGTGAACTGGTAGGACTTTTATCCTATCAATGGTGGGAAGCTTCTGAAGAGTCTTGTGAAGTACATACTGGTGTCCAGTTATAACAAAGAACTAACATCAAGAAGCAAGTTAGTTTTGTGTTATAAAAATATCAAAAGAGTAATAACCTCAGGGTTTTTTTCTTTGGGATTTTGCTACATATTCATATTTCAAAGTATAAAATAATTTTTGTTCATCAAAATATATATTGATGATAGCCATTGCCCTTGTTTTTGCATCTAAGGTTGATTTGACTTAAAAGTTAATATTCACTAAGAAATTTTAAAATTCTATCTACATTTCTTTCACACCCTGGAAAACATTTTCAAGATAAAGGCTTGTGAACGCTGTATGCCTTTCTTTGCAAGATGAAGATAATCACTGAATCTGTAATAACATAACATAAGATACATACTCTGGGGTTGTATTTTGCTCTAGTAAAACATAACTCCTAAAGTAAATGTTGAACTTTAGCTGAACTAATCCAAGAAAACAAATTTAAAAATCCTGCTGACTTTCAGTAGTTTGGAATAAAGTAATAGCCTTCTGATGTTCAGAGATAATATCATTGACTTCAGAAACACAAGAATTTTGAAAATCATATTTTTTTTCTCAACTGGAAACTTGTGGATGATGCATATACAGCCTTCCCAAGCCTAGGATGAGATTATTTGATAAAGGAATGCTAGATAACAATGATGGTACCGGAATAAAAGAGGCCACAGGGAGAGGAAACTGGGTCAAAACTCACTGCAGTTCACACTTGAACTCAGACTGCCTGGGAACATGGGGCTGAGGTCAGCATGAGTGTGTCCTACCTAGCAAGCAGTGACACCACAAACATGGGCATTGGTACACCTAAGGGCTGCAGGGGAAAGACCCAGAAGGGGTCTTGGCCCGAGAGAGCTTCTTGGATATTTTCTTGCATGTTTTACATATTTTTTGGCAACGATAATTGGCAACTGCTTCCAAGATCCAAAAACCTTATTCATAAACATCACCAAGCTACAGATTCAATAAGGGATTAGCAAGAATATCACTTTGGAACTCAATGTATGTGTGTGCACGCATGTGTGTGAGTGTGAAATACATAACAGAAATATTTGCCACGTCCTCTTCTACTGCTCAAATGTAATGTATAACTTCAGATAAACTGAGCAGTGTCTTTCCTTCCTACTCCAATTGGTCACTACTGGTCTTGGGAAGGTGAAAGGTAAAGAGAGAAACCTAGTGCTCTTTACTCTACCACAGCAACATTTAGAGATACAAGTATCCAACCCAATAGACCAAGTTGAAGAGCAGGAATGACGTAGGGAAAAAGACCCGGGAATATGAGTCCAGTTCTAAGATATCTATGTGAATACGCCCTTTTCTCCAAGATCCCGATTTGCATTCTTCATAGCAGCAGAAGAAGCTCTGACAGTCTTTGCCATCCAGACACTCATAGACACAGGTATCTTCCAATTCCTGCCAGTACACAGAATTGTTTAAAGTGATCATTGCAGGTGGTGGTGGTCTCATGTCAAGGAGAGAATAGTTCTGTAGGCAATGAGAACAATATAAAAATCATCATGAAATGCAATAAGAACAGTCCAAGGTGAATTAAGAAATAGGCATGTTATGTCTGTCCATTATATAAAGAGGACAATGCCATGCCCCTTCCCACACAATCTCCATCCCTGCACTGGACAGTTTGATCTTTGAGAGTTCAATCTGCCAATTCAATATCTATACATCTAATGCGAAAGGAGTACAGTGTTTTCAAAACTGGCATATCTCAGAGGGGGCTGAATACATTTTCAGATGTGTATTAACCATTTCAAGTCTCTGTTTTGCTTACTTTTTTGTTGATTTGGAGTAAATATGTTACATATTGTATATAATCCCTTAAATGTTAAGCAGTAAATTTAAAATGTAGAGAGATAAATTTATTTTTCCCTAATTAGTAAATAGTAAAAATTATGGTATATAAGAATGATGAAAGAATCTTCCTGTTCCATGTAATTTATGTAAAAAAATAGCTTTCGGTGTGTGATGGCCAGACACCACTTGTCATATTAAGAGACATAGTCAAAAGTGTGTACAGTGGAATGTTTTATTTTCTACTTCCCTAGCTCTCCTCCTGACGTGGAAAAGTCAATGTAGGGCAGGTAAAGGAGAGGGGATGGCTTATGTTCACTCATAAATGAGAGGTATCACTTTTAAACTTGAGAAGTGGCTTCAAATAGACTTGTCAATTCCTCAGGTGCTTGTTAGTTCTTCCAGTAATTATGAATTATGTATTAACTTGAAGTTTGTTAAGAGGATATATTTCTAAATTTGACTAAGTAATGTGAGAGAATTAAAAATCACAGTTCCCTTTCTGGTTTAGTTTCATTTGTGCTGGCTGAATTGAGTGACCAAAGTGTGTCAGTAAAAGTGGTAAGATGCTGACATCAAGGGAGAATTGTACACACAAACCCAGTCTCAGCTAACTGACTAGATCCTTTGTACTTTGCTGGGAGAGAGACCTTTTGGAATTCATTAGAAAGCATCTTGAGTACCTGTTATGCAGTTGGCTCTGCAACATAGATTTCAACAATGCAGGTCCACTTGTATGCAGATTTTTTTCAAAAAATAACAAGTCCAGTACTATAAATGTACTTACTTTTCGTTATGATTTTCTTAAAAACATTTTCTCTATCTTATGTCAATGTAATAATATAGTACATAATACATATACAAAATATATGTTAATCAACTATTGGTTATTGTTATTATGTTATTGGTAATGCTTCCACTTGACAGTAGACTATGAGTTAAGTATTTGGGGAGTTAAAAGTTATACAAGGACAAAAAAAAGTTATACGCGGATATTCAACTGCATGTGTTGGGAGGGTTAGCACCTATAACCCCTGAGTTATTGGGTCAACTGTATTTCTTTTAAGGGTCAACTGTATTTTTTTTTCATTTTTTTTTCAACTGTATTTTTACCAAAAATGAATCAAGTAAAAATGTAGAGCACTCAGCATCACAACTGGTAGCCTTTTGGGGGCATCCTTTTAATTGAGAAGTGTCTGTGTGTGACGTTCAACCTAAAGTGAGATGTCCTGGACCACATGTTCATGGAGTATTGCCTACTCCATACCTACCAATGGCAAGTCAGGAGCATGATGGTGCAGCCTTCTACCTTCCTCCAGAACTCTGGGCAATGGACCAAAACAAAAGCTTTTTGTTCTATAGGCTCCACTGTGGACACATCTCTAGGTTAATGATTCTTAACCCTGAGTGGATATAAAAATCACCAGGGGGGTTTGCTGAAAAAAATTTAAAAAGCTGATTCCTGTCTGTAGTCTAGTACATTTGAGGAATCTGCAACTTGGTTGGAAAAATCTGCCTTTAATAAATAATAATTGCAGGTGTGTTTTGACAGTGTTCAGTTAGATAATTATCCTTTTATTTCTTCGACCTTTTGTGCCTCTGTAGTGACAACACACAGATGAGAAGCCAGCCATTACTGGCATGGCATGCCTAAAGGAAGATGATGCAGAAAGGGCATCAGAAGGTTCTGAAAGGGGCAGCCAGGGTGGCTCAGCAGTTTAGCGCCCCCTTCAGCCTGGGGCATGGTCCTGGAGACCCGGGATCATGTCCCACATCAGGCTCCCTGTATGGAGCCTGCTTCTCCCGTTGCCTGTGTCTTTGCCTCTTTCTCTCTCTCTCTCATGAATAAATAAATAAAATCTTTTTTTAAAAAAGAAGGTTCTGAAGGACCTTGTGAGGACATCTCACATCTCTTGTGAGGACAGCTCACAAGAGATCTAAAGGGTGACAAGCGGAGCTGTAGGCAAATAAGCAACAAGGTTTCTGGGAGCAAGAGAAACCCCTATTTCACTTCTTCATTTATCAAACTCATGATCATTGTAACATACATAAACCTGATCTAATAATTAAGAGAGCCCTATGTATATCTCTACAGCTCACTGTTTTGAAATAAAACTAATTGCATTTTATAATATTGCGATAAAATTTAGGATGCTAAGAGCCTTAAACAGTCATATGTTAAATTGTGTAAATACTTTCTTAAATGTGTAACTCTCATTTGTCATAAACATTTCAAATTGTGCTCAAAATGGAGATTTTAATTAATGAGTCCCCAAGGTCATCTGCAGCCAAGTAAGGTCCCTGACTCACTTCTGCTTTGCCTGTATGTAAAATATAGTCCTATGACTTCCCTGGAAAAGCTGTGTTTCCTTCGTGACAGGTACTATTGTACATATGAAGTGGTTAGCTTTGCATTTTACAGATTAGGAAACTGAGGCACAGAGATATTTGAAAAACTTGCCCCAAAGTGCACACATGTTTGTTTGTGAGGCCTGGGTTGTGTCCATCATTGCTTAGAGGCTGCCCATCTCTGCAGATGTTGGTAATAGCAGCCCTTTAATTAGCTTAACCTGTGGATATTTCAGAATAGAATCGAAGACATTGACAATTATTATCCATCCTTGGAAAACTCTTTTTCTTTGGCTATTTTATGAACTTTTGTTGAAGATCTCTCTGTGTCTTCTCACCTGGCCTAGAACCCTTTCTCTCTAAATTGTTTTTCTATGTACTTTCTTCAAAGTCATTATACTTTCCCTTTTAAAAACAAGCAAACAATTCTTAGAGTTTTGTGAAAATTTCTTTTTTCTCTATATTAAAAAGATTCTTTCTTTTGGCAGTAGCTTTTTTATACCAAAGGTGTCAATAATTCTTCTTCCACTCCCAACCCACTGGCTGTGTGATAATGTGCTTTGTGGGCCTCAGGCTCTTTGTTTTGACTTGTATCTGTTACAGCATCCCCACTCCCAACCTTTCCCATTACTTTTCAGTCTGTTACTAGTTGGAAGCATTTGCTGGCAAATCTGTATGTTCTCTGTGGCTTCCCACAGCTATAAAAGTGGCTTCACCACTCACCTTATGTCAGAACTAAAAGGATACACTTGCAGAGTATAGATAACAAAGCAGTTTCCTTGAAAAAAAATGTGTTGAAATGCACTAAACATAAATTACCGATCAGTAGTTAGAAAACCCCATATGGGTAGGCATAAAGCATTCAGTGTAATTAGTGAATTGATAGGTATAAAGGGAAACAAGTAGCTATATATAAATTTTGTTAAGTGATAAAAAAGGTAGTGGTTTAAAAACATTTCTCAATTTTTGATAGATTCTTACCTCAAGCCACAAACTAAAAATTCAGATGCATTAATAATTAAATATAACAATATTGTAAATTGTTTAACCTTAACCAATATTTACAGAGCTTAATTTCTCCATATTCAGCTTTCTCATCAGTAGAATGGATTGTTGTGAAGATAAAATGAATTGATACATGAAAACACTTAGAACATAGTGTCCAACAGAGTTTGTGCTCAAAAGAAGGCAAGAGAGAGTTATATGATTTTGAGGGTAGGGGGGACACAAGGGGCAGAAATCACAAAAGGGAAGGCTGATAGATTTGGCAACAGGAGATTTAAAACCATGCATGTAGAAAAAAGTACAAGAAATGATAGTGACAACATTGCCATAAAACTGAAAAAAAAAACTACACAACAAAAAATATATTAATATTCTTAATTATTCTGTATGTGACAAGTTTTAGGTTATATTAAATACAATATATATAATAACTAATATAAATAACTGGAGGATTGATACTTTAAAAAGTTAAAGGACATAAAAAAGTTATAAAGGTTATATAAAAAACTTTCATAAAAGTTAAAAGGAATAAAAACAATTCATGAACACAGAAATACAAATAAAAAACAAGTGTAAAATATTGGATTTTATCAATAATCAAAGAAATGCTAAGGGAACATTAGCTAACGGGCATTTTTTTCTGTTTTATTATCAAGCCTAATACAGGGCGAGTTCTGGGAGGTGTGTGTTCCACACTAATGGAGCCAAACAACCCTATTGGCCCAGTCATTTTGCTTCTATGAATTTATATTAATAGTCATAGGTTTATGCAAAACTGCAGTGATAAGAATATGTATAAAAGTGAAAAGGTGTGGATTAGCCAGTATCCAGCCAAGACTGTCTGTGTAGCAGTCATGACATATAGTGCAATCATTAAAACAATCCTATAATATTTATAACACAAAAACTTATTCATATTTTTGAGTTAAAAATATAAATATGTATGTATATGCTAATCCTTGGGTAGAAGGATTATGATTAATTTTTTCTCTTTATTTTATAAATTGATGTTTAAAAAGTATACACATTTTTGAAGAGACTATGTTCATTACTCATTGTTCTTCAATACATGCATACATAAGCAATAACTTATTATTCAAACTTAGTTTAGTAAGGGTGCTCAGAAATATTTGAATCTTCAATGCTATACATACAGAGGGGGCTTGTAGGCTTATTCGCTCATGAATCCATCTTGAGGAATCTGGATGTAACAACTACAAGGAAAAGAGAAAAAATAATTAGAAAACTTTTGTGGAAATCTGTATCATAAAACACCTTAGTTAAGAGCAACTTTTCATGTATGATTATATCAATCTACGTCACTGGTAGGTAAGGTGAAGAGGTGCTGTAGGGTCATATTCATATATTCAAGTTCTCTATCTTATTGTTTTGACATCTTGTTGAATTAGCTATTTACATAATATTGTATAAGATCTTTAGGAATAAGGATCATTTTTTTGCAAACTATCCTGTCACTACTCTTCCAGAAAATCTTCGCTACTGGAACTCACCGAAGTTTTCTTCTTAGTGGTAGTTGGTTTTCTACAACTTGAATAGTAGTTGAGGGTGGCATACTCCATCAGAGCAGCAAAGACAAATAAGAAGCAAACAGTCACAAAGAGGTCCATGGCAGTCACATAGGACACACGAGGCAAGGAATTCCTAGCAATGGTACTGAGTGTGGTCATGGTCAGCACTGTGGTGATGCCTGTACAGAGGATAGTTATCAAGATGTAAAAGGAGCCATAAAAAATTCCTCCACTCCAACAGTGATTTATTTTTAGGTAAATTCTTCTCGACATTGTATAAAAGTAATAGTATTCTTAATTTTAATGTCTATACAATTTTGCAAACATTTCCATATAATTTTTACCATAGTTCTTATAATAACATTAAAATACCTGAATTAAGTCAACACCTTTCAATTTATTCAGAAATTCCCAAATTATTTCACATTTTGTCTTTTAAATATTTTTAAAATAAAGATAGTTTGCAGAAAAGCTTGAATGGCTCAGTGGTTGAGCCTCTGCCTTTGGCTCAGAGTTTGATCTGGGATCCTGGGATTGAGTCCCCTATCAGGCTCCCTGCAGGAAGCCTGCTTCTCCCTCTGCCTATGTCTCTGCCACTGTCTCTGTGTCTCTCATGAATAAATAAATAAAATATTTAAAAAGAAAGATAGTTTTCAGTCCCCCATACATTCTCTCTGTTCCACATCTCACATTGTTCTTCAGCCCATATAAACTATTCCCTTTTTTTTCTTTCTGCAACTTATAAACTGCCACCTTTCTTTGAGACTCAGCTGAAGTACCATTCTTAATGAGGTGCCATTGCTTATGGCTCCGTAGGCAGAGTTGATAACATGTGTCTCTACACTACCCTTATCTTCTATGTGTTTCCTTTTTGCATTAGCACAGAGAATTGCATATATTTTTATAGTCCTTGCACGTCTGTCTCTCTGAATAAATTGTGTGATCATTACAAGAAAAACTGTGTCTTGCTCTTGCTCATCTTTGCTTACCTGTTGTCAAGCATTGTGCCTAGCACATTTTAGGCATTTCTGTGAATGCTTCACATAGAGTGCACTGATTCATTGATTAGTTAGTTAATTAATAATACTTAGTGTTGTTTTGACTTTGACTATTTCATATACATGGGTCAATACTAAAGATTTAATCAAAGACTGTAGAAAACAGATGCATATGTGATGGATGGTTTAAAAGGAAAAAAATTTAAAAAAGGAATAGAGGCTACTCAACATGAAGAAGAATGAACTAACTGGATGATTATTATGTGAAATGAGTTAAGGTTAACTCTCCCCTAGATGAGCTCCTGCAAAATCAGAATCTGCTAGAGGTGCTGGACAGGCAGGCTAGTGACATGGATCCTGGAATCATAGGAATATGCACATTAACACTTACTACCTCTGTTCTTGGATAAAAATACCATAAAATATCCACCTGGCAGTATCACTCTGTGATTGGGTAAGCATGATAGATAAATGCACATTAGTTCCCTCCTTTCTGAGGATCACAGCTCCTGTTTAATGCTTCTTTGTTCCTCCTCAGGGAAGTTAGCCAGAGCCAGTTGGAGAATGAGCATAATAGCACAGAGTGGACAGCTCAGCCATGCATAAAAGGATATTGACTCAGAAGTCAATGCCCTCAGTGTTTCTCTGGGCCTTCTCAGCATTTGGTCATGTAAAGTCACCTACTTTCTTTGAATCTGTTTCTTTGATCAGTACAGTAAAAACAGAATGCCAGGCTCTCTTTATTGTAGGTGGGAAAGTTGTGATGCTTTATGTAAAAATGCATGTAAACTTGAAAAGTCTACACAGATGGCAAGTGTGTTTTTATAAAAATAAAGATTTTGCAATAAACATCTAATTTAACTTTTAAAAAATGAGGTGACCTTGGGTTATGGGCATTAAGGAGGGTACATGATGTAATGAGCACTGGGTGTTATATGCAATTGATGAATAACTGAACTCTATATCTGAAAGTAATGATATACTATATGTTAATTGATTCAATTTAAATAAAATAAGATTAAAAATGTGATCATATCATGTCTACAGAATTTTTTTGCCACAAAATTTAGGGATTTAAAAATTTAATTTTTTTTAAAGATTTTATTTATTCATAGAGACAGAGGGAGAGAGGGGCAGAGACACAGGCAGAGGGAGAAGCAGGCTCCATACAGGAAGCCTGACGTGGGACTCAATCCCGGGTCTCCAGGATCACATCCGGCTGCAGGCGGCGCTAAACTGCTGCGCCACCAGGGCTGCCCTAAAAATTAAATTAAAAACCCAATGAGGTTAAAACCTCATTTCTCCAAAAATTTTTATCTCATTAATTTTCATTTCCCATTCTGAAATCCCAGTTATAGTAATACATCTTCATATTGTCCTACAGATCATTGAGGCTTTCTTCATTTTTAAAAATCTTTTTATACCTCTCTTCTTTAGATTAGGTAAATTTTATATGTTGGTCTTCAATTATGCATGACCTTTTATTTTGCTATCTTCAGTCTACTCTTAAGCCCAGTTAGTGAATTTTTCTTTTTTTTTAATTTTTTTTTTATTTATTTATGATAGTCACACAGAGAGAGAGAGAGAGAGGCAGAGACATAGGCAGAGGGAGAAGCAGGCCCCATGCACCGGGAGCCTGACGTGGGATTTGATCCTGGGTCTCCAGGATCACGCCCTGGGCTAAAGGCAGGTGCTAAACCGCTGCGCCACCCAGGGATCCGGAATTTTTCAATTCAACTATTATACATTTCATTCTAGAGTTTACTTTTTAATATACTTTACCTGCTCAGATTATCCATCTGTTCATTCATTAACATTATATTTTCCTGTAAGTTCTTTAACATTGTCATAATAGCTGCTTTAAAGCTCGTGTCTACTGATTCAGCACCAGATTTGTCTTTTTATATTGACTTTTTTTTCTATATCATGGGTCACATTTTCCTACTTCTAAGAATGTCTCGTAATTTTTTATTGCATACTTAATATTGTGGATGATACATTACAAAGATTATTAAGTATGTTATCCTTTTTAAAAACATGTTAAATGCTTTCTTATGACAGATAGTTAATTTCCTATTATAGCTTGGTTTAAGCTTTATTTAGAGGTGGTCTGGAGTACCCCTTCAGTCCTAGGCACAGGCTTTCTGGTGTCTCAGCTAAATATTCTGGTGTTCATGACATTTCTCTCTTCTTCTCAACTGTAAATCTTTTATTTTCCAGGTTTATATATTTCCAGTATCTCTATCTCCTTAATGCCACCATGGTGACTCTTTGACAGGACCTTCATAGCTTCAAGTTATGCAACCATTACTACATATTATATTGTTTAGAAGCTGATTTTTCAAGTCATGCTCACTATGACACCTAGCATTTGTAATTGTAAGGTCATAACCCCAAGAACAGTTACTAAATTTGTGTTGTAACTTTGCTGGATTATTTACCAATTCTATTATGTATTTTTTATAAGCATGCAAAACAAACACTGGGAGGATAGTGTAGGCTAGTTTATCTTGCTCAAAAAGTACGTTGTTTTTAAATAAAGAATAGGGATTCCTGGGTGGTTCAGCGGTTCAGCGCCTGCCTTTGGCCCAGGGTGTGATCCTGGATTGAATCCTATATCAGGCTCCCTTCATGGAGCCTGCTTTCCTTTCTGCCTGTGTCTCTGTCTCTGTCTCTCTCTCAGTGTCTCTCATGAATAAATAAATAAAATCTTAAAAAAAGAATAAAGTAATAAATGCAGAGAAAACACAAGGTAATATGAGAAACTTTGCAAGGATTTTGAAATTGGGGGAGCTCCCTCTTTCCTGAAAGACATTTGTCTGGGCAAACAACCTCTATATTCAGTCTTGTATATTACCTTTGTTCACAAATCAAAATATTGGAAATTAGGTAACATTCTTATCATAAAGAAAAACTGATATAAAAATGTTACATACACAATTCTAAAACCACTGAAATTTAATCTTTTATTAAGAGGACTTTGAGGGTCAGAGAAAAATTAATGAAAAGATCCTGAGCTTAAAAAAAAGATACTGAGCTTTATTGTGTAGATTATAACTTTATAAGATTGTTAAAAAATCAGAACTTTTGTTGAGAGACTATTTTACTGATATTGTCTTCAGTTCTCAAAAATGTGTGAAAAGTTGTGTCTCTTTACACTAATGAGGCTTTTCAGTGTGACAGATTCTCAGGGTGTGACTACATTTTTTATGATGACATCATCCTTAGAGCATAGTATCAGATGATGTAATTGATGTGTTCTGCATCCTTAACCCCAACTTATTTTAAGTGGCATACTTGGAATTCCATTGTCAGAAAGAAGAGTCTGACTTGACTACTTGAAATAATTTAAGCACAGTTTAAGAAGCCCTCAAATTAGATCAATTACATATGAACTGTCTCTCTCACTGGAAGTATTTTTGTGAATAGTTCTGTATTAATAGTAAATAAAATGGTGAAAGAGATTTTTTTTCATTTTTTTTTGAAACTCACCTAATGCTGTTCTTGCAGGCGTAGCATCTTTTTTGATCCAAAATGACACCCAGGATAAAACCACAGTCAGTATACAGGGAATATATGTTTGAATAGTGAAGTATCCCATTCTTCTACTCAATTCAAAATATATAGTCATGACAACATAATCACCTGTAATAAAATATTATCAAAAGTAAACAACTTTCTTTGTTTAAGTTTGACTATTTATTTTATTATTAAAAATAATTCAGGGAAATAATTTTGTTAATTGTATGACTTGGATAAAAATATACAACTACAATACACCAAATTGTGAAAAAAAGTCAAAATGCTGTTTTTTTAAAGATTATTTATTTATTAATTAGAGAGAGAGAGAGAGAGAGAGAGAGAGAGAGAGAGAGAAAGAGAAACAGGAAGAGGGAGAAGCAGGCTTCATGCAGGAGCCTGACGTGGGACTCGATCCAGGTCTTCTGGATCACGCCCTGGGTGGAAGGAGGAGCTAAACCGCTAAGCCACCGGGGCTGCCCAATGCTGGTGTTTTTAAACTTAATTTTTATAAACTTTATTTTATCCATGGCTGTGCAAGACATTTTACTAGTCGCTGGAAAACACACAAACATATTAATTGATAGAGGAGACAGACATGCACATTTCATCTGGGACAGACCATTACTCAATGTGCTATTATTGCTTGAGTTCATCTGAATGTTGAATGTTTAAAATCAAGGGTAATATAACATAATCCACCCTCAAGCAGATCCCTAGTCATTTTGTTTTTTCACTAGTAACAGAGCTATACATAAACATTCATACCAAAATTTGTGTAACAATTTTATATTTCTATTTTTATAGCATGATTTTAGTTTAATGTTGTATTTTGTTTTATTTGATATTTTTATGTTGATCTTATCCTTTCATGACTCCAGAAGTTAGGCTGTGCCAACCCGGAAAACAAACAGAAGAAATAATTTTATGACATTCTGCTTCCTTCTACTACAGCAAACCCATACCATAAAAGAGTTGGGAGCAAAATAGTTGTTACTAGAAATGCCATAATATTCTCTGAGGTATTAAGAGAGGGTGCATGCTTAATACATTATTTTATTCCAGAATCATCTCTATTTGAGTCCTTTCTAGGCAACTTTCTGCTGAGAGCATATTTGTCTGCCTCTTCCCATTTGACCTTCACTCTTCAATATGCCGGCTTCAGCCTTTTTGGCATCAGAAATTCACTAGATTCTGATTTGAATGATCATCTCCCTCCACACCAATGCCTGCTCTTTTCTCACCAGAGACTTTCTCTCTCTTCAAGGCAGAAATCCAGAAGCCACCTGTGACTCCTTTTTCCCTTCTTCAATTCCTGCATTGCTCTCAATTCCTTTCCCCACAAGTGCCGGATTCTATCAAGCTCCCCACCTATCTCCTGACAACTAGTCCTTTTCCACCACTCCTGACCATTCTATGTCCTACTATCAAAAGGATCATTCTAAAATACAAATATCAATATATCTCTCCCCTTATAATCCTTTACCAGCATCTTGCTACTGTCTTATAATTGTCATGACTTTATTATGGCTTATACCATTCTGCATGCAATGCCCCTTCCCTGTAGTCTTTGGACTCTGGACATGAGAATCTCCCTAGGTCCTCAGACATACCCAGATCCTTCCCCATGGACCAATAAATCTTTTCATCTGCCTAGGGTGCTCTTCTTCTTTATCCTGCATTCCAATAGTTCCACTCACCTTTGAATCTCAGCTTAGAAATCACTTAGTTCACCAGGAAGTCCTCATTGAGCCCCTCCCAAGAATTATTATTAATTAATTTCTATAATCGTTAATATATTTTTAAGACTAATAAACTGGTTGAGTTATAGGTAATATATCTCTCTTCTTTAGCAATAATTATAAGCAATGAATTAGTGTTTGTTTAATGAAAAGATCATAATTAAATCCCATTTTTTACTTAAAAAGATTGACAGGGTGACTATATTAAGCCCATGTGAAAACTGCCTTTCAATAATTAGATTTTTTTTGTGGTGTTCTTTTGTAGCAATATTCAGGACAATTGATGGAAACATCAATATTGAGATCATTTTCTAAGAAATGCTTAAAATTTTAAGCAAATTAGCATTTCAGTACAAAGAAATCAGAATGATTAACCTGAAGCAATCAAAGGACAGAAAGATATTTTTCTAATATGAATGCCGTTACATCATTTCCTGGGGAAATATTATTGAATTATGTGCAATATTTAAATGCCTATTAATTTTAACATAAAATTTCAGTTAAAAGCTAAGCAGAAAATAAACAGTAGACAGAAAAACAAAACATAACAGATCAGTTATTAGCACAACATAGATGCAATATCCAGAGCTGAATAATTTTCTCAGCTACGATTGTAGGTTTCTGAGAAAGATAGAGAGGGACAATTTCAGAGCAAACCCACAATTCATTTTAGCAAATCTGCTTTCCCTCAACTTGAAGTAAATGGACTCTCTCTATCTGTGCTCAACATATGCATTTACCTAACTCAGAGATCTGCTGAACATCCCATTATCAGGTATGAAAATCAAATGAACTGTCAGGGCCACATTCCGGGGCCTGATTCTATATCTCGGTTTGTTCTATGTGAGGTTTTGGGACACATCCTCAGAAGCAGTTCCAGAAAGCCCTGTGGTTCTAGTTTTCCAGCTTTTATAGTGTACAAATACCTGAGGAAGTAGTGGCAGGGTGAATTGTGAGTTCTAGCCCATTGCCCCACACAAGAAGACCAACACATAGCCAATGTGCCGCTCATCTTAAATTGGAAGGAAGAGGATGGGGGTCCTAATGTCCAGATGCATCACATGTTTCTGTATACACTTAATTTGTGTAGGCCTGGGGTAAAAGAGGAGAGGAGATAAAAGCCCTTCTCAGAGGAGGCAAAAGTCCTTCCCTACATATGAAAACATGTGGCTGAAAAGTTCTTCAGACAGGCCAATCATATGTCTAAATTATATTTGCCATTAGTTTTAGGGCTCTTGACTGAAGAAAAATGTAGTTCCTTTTATCTGTTCCCCTTCTGCAAGTGTACATAAACCCACACATCTGCATTCACACACACAGACACTCACACACCCCCATGGGCCCAGTCTGCTCCAACTTGGGTGTGAAGTCTCAGCTCTTGCTTCATGTTCCCTAGAAGCTTTTTCCCCCCTCTCTATGATGTTTTAGCTATTCACCCTTATTAATGTGCAGCTTTCCTAATGTAATTCAAGACCTGGACCAGAATGATTTTGATTTTCTGTGATCATTTCTGCTCAAACCAAAGGTATCTGCGTTTTTGATTGACTCTTAAGCCACATAATAGGGATCTAGAACTCATAGAGGTCTCTAGAGTCCACCCTGGAATGTGCCTGATGGCCATTTCCCAGGGGAAATATGGAACAGTAACAGTTGGGAAAGGACTGAGAAGTTTCTCTTTGATCTATCAAGGTTTAAAAAAAAAGTCATGTGGAATTATAAGAACAAGTTGCTCTTTGCCAATAGCTTATTTGTGTGTGTGTGTGTGTGTGTGTGTGTGTCTGTGTGTCTGTGTATGTGTGTTTCCTGAGCCAATGTAAGAAAAAATATGTGAAAGTACTGAAGAGTTTTTGGAAGAGCATTTGTATTACTACTTTTTAGCATGATGGCACATATTTATGAAATAAAAATTTATTAAGCTAATATGGTGTTTCATGAAGTTAGAAGTACAAAGATTAATAAAATACAGAAAGTTCCCTCAAGGCTAAAGACTAGCCAGCCACATCTTCTTAATTCATACCAGCATTGTTTCCAGACAGAACTATTATAAGTCATCATATATTTCATGTCATAGATAACCTTGTTTATTTATTACAGCTTAGGCACCCAAACCTTCCTTTGACTCTCTTTTAAATATCATTGTTAAGTCTCCAGACTTGCTCCTCTTCTGATGACCATGTCTTCTCACACCTTCACAGAGGTATCTTCCCTTGGTCTCCCTTCAAAATATCCTAAGTTAATACCCTTCAAAAACCAGCCAAGGCCTGGTAATTAGCAAGCAATGTTCAGTACAAAAAAGTTTGCCATGGGAAAAATTGTCTTTTTCTTTTGTTTATGACATCCACTCATGAAATTAAATTCTCCATTTTAAGAAATTAAGTCTATGAACCTTTTATGTTATTGTTAATGCTGCTGAGAATCTGTTTCCTAACCTAAGGTCATAAAAATAAAAATATTGTATTATTTTGTCTATGAGTTTTGTTTTATTTTTATAGGTTTTGATTCTTCTTCAAATTAAACTTCTTAAATTCCACGACCAGTTGTCATAGCATCATTCATTGCACCCTCAATCATCCACAATGCCACCTCACATGTCCATGTAAGTATGGATCTGTTTTAGTCACATATCCATTATGTATGGATCTATTTCTACATATTGATTCCTGCACAGCTACCATATTATATTAATTATTAAAACTGGGAGACACATCTGAAAAGGACCCCAAATTAATCACACGCTTGTACAATTGTCTCACCTTGAGTGTAAGAAGAACCTGTGATTTTGTTTTAACAAATAGAATGTAACTTGTCACTTCCTTGTTCAGATTATTTTATGGAGGAAAGGTGAATGGATTTTGAGATCTGTTGTTTTCAAGCTAAAGAGAGATCATTATGGGTGGATCTGACTTAGGTGAAAACCCCTTAAAGGACTTAGGACTTCCATGAAAAGAGATTCTCCTTCTGGTCTTAAAGAATTAAGCCAACATTAGCTTTACAGCTACAAATAATAAAATTCTGTGAATAATGTAATGAATTTAGAAGTAGATTCTTCCTTAGTCAAGCCTCCATATTAGAATGAAGCTCAGCTAATGCCCCAATTGCAGCCTTAAGACAGCCTAAACTTGACGGGATGAGCACTGGGTGTTATTCTGTATGTTGGCAAATTGAAAACAATAAAAAATAAATTTATTATTAAAAAAAAGACAGCCTAAACAGAGGACCCAGATAAGCCAAATCCATGCTTTTTACTCACAGAAACTATTGAATTATATAGGTGTTTTGTTTTAAGTCACTAAATTTGTGGTAATCTGTTACACAGAAATGAAAAATTAAGGGAAAATGACATCAACAAAATGGTCAAATAAGATGTCTCTCGAACATATCCCC